CGGGAGCGCCACCGCGCTCCCAAGCGGTGCACTGTAGCAGTGCGCCACCAGGCCGGCCCACACCTGTATTGATTCTGATGGGGGTTTGTAGAGCTTCATGAGTCCATGTCTTTGGTATTTTTCTCAATAATATTTCTTTGAATATTACTTCTCCTGTTTTGTGTCTCCTCCTCTTTGGGACTTCAGATTACATATGTTAGATCTGTTTCTTTATGTCTCAATACACTTTTCTGGAGAAACCTTTTTAAAAAAATTTAAACAGCTACAGACAAAAAGCACTCAATATTTGCAGATGTTCTTTTAGGTGACTGCACTGCCTCATCAGTCAGTGGTGATTATGTCAAGAGGGAAACTAACTTATATGATGACAGATAAAGGCTGGGGTCAAGACATATCTTAAAGAGACACAGAAGACATTGGGAAATCCTCTAGGCTTGCTGCTGGAACTCTCAAACAGTTAAGTCATCTAATAAATATTCTTCTGTCTTCATAGGAATTTTCCAAGTGAAAGGGATTTGGGACTCCCCCGTGAGGGAGAAACATAAGTTCCATAGCTCATTAATAAGGAGCAGACTTCTCTTTGTAGTCATGTTTCCACTTGTTGAATCAGCTTCACAGAAGTTGTACATTTATGACATGTCTGTTTATAAGAAGAGATGGAAAATATGAGAAACTCTAAAACCTGAAATAATCTGTTACAAGGCTGCAGGCTGAAGAACTGTGGAATTTAATTCAGACTTCATCGCTGAAATCATTTATGCATGTCTGTATGGAGATATATATACATATAAATATATATATGGATGGAGTTATATAGAGATATAAAGTTTGCTACCAAAACTCATTTTGTATCCTTTTAAATTTAACAGTGTACTTTACTGAAAGTATCTGAGAATGCATCTCAGAACAAGCCTTAAGTGGTCTGCTCCAGCAACTACTCACTCTTGAGCTAGCCCTGTGTTTTCAGCCTTATCCATGCCATGCGTGGTGATCTCACCTTTGATAATTACTTCATCTGGAGCCAGTTTTTCTACATACAACAAATTTTAAAACCTTGATTATTTTTTATACTACATTTCCCTAAGCTTGTAATTCAGTAGGCATGGGGGGTAACATTCTTTCACTGCTCCCTTGGTGTGAATCCTTTTCAGTCCTGAAATGATGGCTATTTTGCAAGGTTTAAGTATACCGCATGATTGCAGGTGCATCCGTATGTATGCTGCTCATAAATGTCTGTGATCATTATTTGTTACTAGCTTTGTACTTTATACTTTGTACTTGTTGAGTGTTTTACAGTCAGTTGTTAGCTACTAAGAGTAAATTGCATGTTTGTTTTTCTTTACCCTACCTCTTTCATTACTGTTTAAAATGTCAGATTTGGGGAAACCTCAAGAGTCCCCCAAACCTCTTTAAGTACTTATAGACAAGGTTTTTCCTTGAATCACTTTTAAAATCCTTCCAACCATGTTGGCTGCTGGCCATACCAGCACATTGTGAGAGAATTTTTTTAGGGTTGAAAGCCAGGGAGAAGCCTTCTGGGGGAATTTGGTTTTCTAGCACAGCTGCTGGTGCAGATCGTTGTGTTGATTGTTCTGCTTGCAGATGTTTGTGCATTTTTGCCAGTTAGAGCTGGAAAGGTTCCCAGGAGACCACAAACCCCAGCCCCTTCAATTTACCTGTAGTGAAACTAAGACTCAGCCTAGTTAGCTGATGTACTGGCAAATGGCAAAACTCAGGACTACATCAATGAGTTGTCACTCTTATTTTTCTTCATTCTTCTACACACATCTGTTGTAAAGAAACAGGACAGTATCGTGGTTAAAATACTTGATCTAGGAATGAGGAAACCTTAGGTCTAGATATCATAAAATGATTTTTAAATAATGTTTAAATGCATGGCCTTCTTTTCCATCAGAACTTCTTTTGCTAATTTTATTTTGTCTTCAAAATCTGGCTCAAAAGGCTCCTTATTGCAGAAGCTTCCTAAGCATTCTTAGGCTGAATTAGTAACTGTCCCCCCTTTGCTTACAGGGAATTGTGCACATTGCTGTATTATAATACATATCATATGATAATGACTTATTCAATTATCTATCTGCCCTCTTTCCACCCACACACTGCACCCAACTTCCCAGGACCAGCAACATCATCTTCTCCAACTTCAATTCCTAATGCTTGGCAGAGAGGCTGGCACTTTATGTGCTCTCAGTGTTTGATGAATGAATTAATGAGCCAGCCACTCTCTCACAGTCTTACACTATCAGCGAATCCTACTCTTTATTGGACATAAAAATCACCTGCAGTCACTGGCATAAAATTCAGTTTTCCAGGCCATACCACAAGAGATACTAATTCAGGATAGGGGTAGGGTCTAAGAATCTACATTTGTATTAAGTAGCCGATGATTTGATACAAATTGTTCACACTTGGCAAGCTCTACTGCTTCTTAGTGTTAATTGTATATCTCAATTATCTGTCACCTGAATAAAAACATAGAGCTCCTCTGCCCAACCCCTACCACCGATCTGTCACCACCATCTGACTTCCCAGTATGGGTACTGACATTTTAAACAAACCCTAAGTCTCAATCCCAATAAAATTTGTGAAAATGAAGAAGATAATATTTATAAACTATTTGAGTTCCTTAGAAGAAGGGTATCTCAGCTCATTAAAGAAATATTACTTATTGTATTTTAAATTATAATGTTTAAAACTTATATATAGCCTTGTTGGATACACAGCATGTTTCAAATATATGACCTCATTTGAACCTCAGTAATCTCTGTTAGTTTCTAGTTATATTTGGCACTGGTGTTGGTATTGTATGCTTTGGTCTCGTTGTGACTTAAATACACCTTTGTGAACTAGTCTGAGAATCCAACCACCAACATAACGATATAATGACAAAGTGTGTTCTGAGTTCCAAACAAATGAGTGCTCAGAGGTCTACCTGTTTGAAGGTGGCACACTCATGCCTGCAGGTGTGAATAGACAATGGGGACAATTTTCTCTCTCGTGTGTGGTTCCTGGTCACCAGGGGTGTTGGCTGAGACTAGTAATGTCAATATGGGTGATGCAAAGTATCTCTCCACTAGGAGCAGTTTGGAAAAATACAGTCCTTGGGAATTCCAGGTAGCATCTAAGGAGCCTGCAGGGATGGAGAAGTGTTCCTATAACAGTTCTCTGGCATTCTCTGTTATAGCAGGCGGCCGACCAAAAGGGGTCTGCCACTTGAAATCAGAATGGCTGAATCACAATGGCAGCTCTGGGTTTAAAGGACTCTAGTCAGAGACCAGATGACTTAATGGAGAGCCAACTCCTCTGAATGGCTGGGGGGCAGAAGCAACCAAATGTCCTGGATCTTTCACTTGGGCTCAAGCTCTTTCTTCTCCTGCCATCATCCTTCCAGTACTGGGCAGGAGCCGTGACTGCAGGCATCCTGGCCTCCGAGTGTATTATCAGACAAAAATGACAATGGTTACTAACAGACCACTAAGGGTATTCCAGTCACTTCTGCCCATTGCCCCACCCAGATATTGCTTTTATAATATGATATCAAGTATTTCATCTATAATTGTGATGATTTTTAAAAATAATCACTTCATGTAAATTTCTCTATTTTAATCCAAGGTACTCTTCAGCAGAAATAAGGAAACAGTTCACCCTCCCACCAAACCTTGGCCAGTACCAGCGGCAGAGCATAAGTACCTCTGGCTTCCCCTCTCTTCAACTAGTAAGTATGAGTTACTGGTTTGTTTGGCAAATGGTCAAGTGCAGAAGTGCTCGGCCTGTGCATTTGCTTCCTGATCCTCCTTAGATCTTCCTGCTGCCACCTTACATTCTCCAAGCACCAATTCCTAACTCCCTGCCTGCTTTTTGTTTCTGTTATAGGAGGCAGCCAACCAAAAAGGCTCGGCTGCTCAGAATAAGAAAGGCTGGACAACATCCCTCTTTTCCTCTCCAACTAGGGTTTAAAGTGCAGATAGGACCTCCCAGGGCTGTGGTTCTGGCCTCTCTGGATTTAGTGGGCTTCTAGGCTACTCAATTTCACCCAAATTATGGTTCATATGTAGGGGAGAGAGGTTAGCCTGGAAACTTACCACCAATCGTAGCATGCTTTTATTGGAAAAATGTATTTCAATATCTGAAAACCGGGTTGCAACCTTCATTTTGTAAAATCACTTTCTTGGAAGTGTAATGTCCCTACAATACAATCTACCCATTTTAGGTAGACAATTTGATGAATTTGGGCAATTTATAGTCATTCAACTTCTACCCAATCAAGGAATAGAATATTTCCTTCATCCTAAAAAGTCCCCTCCTGCCTTTTTGCAGTCCGTCTCTTCTCCCAGCCCCAACCCAGGTGAGCACTGATGCCTTTCTGTTGTTATAATTTTGCCCTACCTGGAACTTTATATAATTGGAATCATATAGTATGTACCAACCTTCGTTTTTAAAACACACTTCCCTTTTTAAGTTGAAGATTACCTACATTTTTATATTAACACCAATTGTAGGGCGTACAATAATGTGTTAACATTATTTAAGGACTGAAGGCCAGACATGTGCCAAGGGAGCTCACTGTGACTTCAATGAGATGGTGTGTCATACCACAAGTGAGGGCTCACTTCCTTTGTGAGAGGCTCCAGCCTTCCCTGTGCTCACTTCCTCAGCAGCACAGCAGCACTTTCTTGCTCGTTCTGGTGGTTATCTTGAGGAGGTTAGGTTATTTTTTGTTTCTACTTATTACTTCAAAACCACTTCTGCTCTTAGAAATTTTGTAACCTTCCACCCCGTTTCCTGTAGCTGCCATTTTGTCTCCTGTAACAATTTACACGCCGTGTAACTGTGTATCTTTTAAAGGTATGTTTTACTGGAGTGTTTTGTGGTTATTTCAGAAGGATAATTTGTGTGTCGTGTCATGAATGAAATAGTAGTACTAAACAATGCATAGCACCTTTTACTGCAAGAGGAAACTTGCGATGACATTTGGGGGCTTTTGCTAGACTGCACTTTTTATTCGTACTTTTCCTGTCTGTTTCAAAATTGCAGATTACAATGAAAGCATGAGCCCGTGTTTTTGGATATGTTAGGTGAGCTTTAAACCAAGGTAAATTAAACTTGTTTCTTGGTTTAATTTGATGCTGATATATATTTAATCGAAAACCAAATTTTTTAAAAAATTCTGATTCAAGTTGTATTCCAAAATATGCAACATTTAGTTAAAAAGTGACTGGATGCACTTAAATTCGAAGCAAGGTGGGAGGTTTTGGAGCTTTGCTTTTTTAAAATAAGTTAAGACTGCAGCTTTGTGCAGTAGCTGTCTTGGGAAATAGTGTGAACATCACTGTTAAGAGACTTTAAGGAAGTTATCTAACAGGCTTTAACCCCTTCTCTCCACACCAGCTTTTACTTTTAATGCTGCAGCCTTAAATTTTGTCAGGAGAAATCCTTTTTGAATGTAAAATTAGTAAAAAATTGCTTAATGTTTGCAGGTCTTTTTAGGTAATTCTGCGTCCTCGATAGGTTTGAATGAAAGTAAATTTTGATGAATCACTTCATTAGCTAAGTAGTCAAGTTATCATGTGGCTTGGCTACCCATTTTCTAAGAGATGATATCAAGAAAATGGCAAAAATAAGCAACAATTTGGGCCGGCCCGGTGGCGCACTGGATAGTGCGCTGCTTGGGAGGCGCGGCTGGCGCTCCCGGTTGAGAATCATTTAAAGAGCTTACTTACATAGGTAGAAGTATTCCAAACAGGGGAAAGAATATAAAGAGAGGTAATATTTCTTTGGCTGCCCTGTGTGCTCTGAATTGTGGAATATGTGGCAGCCAAAACCACTTGCTAACCCTATGGATATATCCCTATGTAAATATGGTGGCTTCTGTCATAAATCTAATAAATCAAATGAGAGGAAGGGCATGTGTTTGATTTTCTGTTTGTTTGTTTTATTGGGTTTTTTTTAAAACCATAATTGTAAATGTTAGTTGTGATAATTGTGTGTATATACATTTTCAAAGTAGATAAAATATTTTAAAATTTTGCACTTTTGAATATGAAGAGGATCCATCATTTAGAGTTGGTTTTCTGGACATGATGAAAGATTTGCTCTGGGTCTATTAGACACTGTCACCCAAGTCCTTTGTGACCAGGGCCAGAGAGAGGGGCTCTGGCTAGTACATATGCCTGTGCGTAGACTCACCCATTGGCCTTGGCATTCTCTGTTGCCAGCCACCTATGTGGGCAAGAAATTCTACATTCCATGTCTCTGTTAATATGAAACTGTAAAATACTAAAACTATTTTCTGATTATTGAAAGAAGAAAGGGGAGTGAAACATACAAGAGATGAAAGGGATGGGATCTATGCCCTAAGGTAGTGAGAAGGATTTGAGACGTCGTGTACATGGTTAATAACCTTAAGCTTCATTTTTATGGAGGGAAAAATCCTATTTTTGAAAATGAGAGAAGTATTGAAGTAAATTGGGGTGAATCAGCTGAACCATAACAGCTCTGGCTGAAGAAAAGGATGTAAAAAGCCACATCCTGGATATGTACCAAAACACCATGGTTACATGACATGTTTGTATATCTAACATTTATGTTTAAAAAAAAAAAAGTCTCATACCTTAGAAGGTATTCATTTTTTAACATGTATAGGCTTCTACGCATAAAGCAACCTTCTTCTTTTACAGCTAAGGATGACTTAAGTGAGGAATTGTTTAATAAATATGGTCCTCTTTTAGTCTTCTGATTCTACTGTTCTTTTGTACTTCGTCATTCAAGGAGCTGGGCTATTCTTAGGTTTCATTGATTGCACTGGAGGGGACAAGATGGAAAATGAAGATGTTTGTATAGTTTTCATGCAAATTTACAATGGAAGATGAAATGAGACAGTGGCAGGCACTGCGCATGCAGAGCAGGCATTTCATTAGGGTCACTGTACAAAAGGGAATCAAGTCAGCCTTAGTAAAAATAGCCTTGGTTTGATGCCCTGGATGGCATGTCAGCATCTTCGGCTCTGGCTTCAGTGGACCACTGCCATGAGGGGAAGCAGGAAAACGTTGTCTAATCTAGGCCACAAAGTACAGTGAAATCACTGAAGCCAGAAGAACCTTACTGCCTTCAGGGAAAGGGAATAGGGACACCAAAGAGATGCTATTTTAAATTGAGTGGTCTGTGAAGGCCTCTATCTCTGGAAAGGAGATACTCAGCCAGAATTCTGAATGAACTTGACAGATATTCAGAGGAATATCTGTATTCCAGTCAAAAGGGTATTCCAAGTACAAGGTCCCCAAGAGTGTGCAGCATGCTTCAGAAACAGCAAGGAAGCAGAATGTGGCCTGAACGGAGTGGGTAGTAGGAGATGAGATCACAGGGAAAGCAGAGCTGGGTCATAGACCCTGAGGTCTCATATGACCATGAAGGAACATTGGTTCATCCTCTGATTAAAATAGGAAGCCACTGGAAGCATTGAACAAAGGCCAGGTCCAATCTCACTTTTTATAAGGATCGCTTATAGAGTCCTTTTTATAAAGACCACTGTAGCTGCTATGTGGAAAACAGACTGGAATGGGGAGGACAGTTAGGAAGATGTCACAATGACTCAGGAAAGCGATGGCAGTAGAGAAGGTGAGAAGTGTTTGGATTCTGGATATATTTCAGAAGGAAAGTGGATAGGATTTTCTGATGGATTATATGAAGAGTGTAAGAGAAAGAGAAAAATCAACATTGACTTCAAAATTTTTGGCCTAGGAAACTGGTGGAATGGAATTGCCACCGAGGTACAGAGCCTTGGAAGGTATGTGAAGAGCAGATTGGCAGGAAAATTAAGGTTGGTCTTGAATGTGTTATGTTTGCAAGGCCTGTTAGATTACCAAGTGGTGGTGTTGAGGTGTAGTTGGAAAAGTCAGTCTGGATTTTATGGCAGAAGTTGAGGATGCACATATAAATTTGTAATTAAAAAAAAATAGATGGCAGTGGATGAGATGATCTGGGAGTGAATGCAGATTAAGAAGAGATGTTTTAGGACTGAACTCTAGGGCACTGCATAGTAGGAGAAGACCCTAGAAAAGGTGGAATCCAAAATGTAGGGAGACCCAACTGTTCCAGTTTGCCCAGGACTGAGGAGTTTTCCAGTACATGGGACTTTCAGAGACTTGGACTTACTGGGACGATTGTTCGCCCTTCATGGGAAGAAAGCATTTTAAGAGGGAGAGAGTGACCACCTATGTCTAGTGCTGTAGATAAACCAGGACTGAGCAGAGACCATTGAATTTGGCAACATGGCAGTCTTGGGTGACTTTGACAAGGCTTGTCTGTCATGAAGAGCCAAGTAGATGTGAGGACCGCTCTCTGTGGGGGTACAGGTGCACTACCTGAAGACATCATGCCTCTTCCCCAGCACCACCCAGAGTGACATGAAGCCTCCCCAACCCTGTAACAAAGGCTCCAGGTCTTTGTGACTACCTGCATGATTTGGGGCAAGCCATTTAACCTCCCTGTTTTCAATACCCTTATTTGTGAAATATTGTTCTGATTTGCTATTTGAATCAGCTATCAATATGTTATCTGTATACCACACTATGATAAGATCTATGTATTTTAATTTTAAATAGATATGGTTCTGGTGCTGTAAGAATTTTTAATTTCAAAACAAATTGAATCCTAGCCTTTGTCAGGAGAAACAGCCTTTGACATATGTTAGAGGACAGGAAAAAGCTCAAACCTACT